AAAATAATTGTATTCATAAATAATATTTTAGATCATATATTGGTATCGGTGTAGTTAGTAGGGATCTGCAAAATCACTTTTCAGTTCCAGTCCAAATTTTTTGGCAGTTCTGGTCCTGGTTTCGATTTCAGATTAGTTTTGTATTGACTTTATTGCTTGCTACTTTCAATTAGTTTGTATTGAGGGTATGCCGATCTTATGATTTATCAAGGATCAAGTTCTCCTTTTTTTCATCTTTGCCTTCATAAAGATAAGAACAATAATAAAAAGTCACATGCATTCTTCTTCTTCTTTATATACACAAAATTCTCTGTTCTGTGTAAAAAAAATAAAAGCTAGTGAGCTCCTTGTAACACTATTAATTTGGTTAAACAAATATCTGATAACGAAATATTTAAAAATATCGAAAGGAACGTCTAATGTCTTTCGACGGATTAATACTCATATTTTGTAAAATAGGAACAGTTATCTGAAATATGTGTATCGATATCAAAAAGTAACTTAAGATATGTCTCCAAAAAGATTGAAAAATAGACTCAGTTACGTGTAAAACTATGTTTTATCAGTCCCTACAGCATTTTGATAGGTCATACTGCTTAATCAATATCACACGATCCGAGTACCAAGACCGTTTCGTTTCAATAATAGATGGATATCAACAATCTACACATTTTTTCATTCTCTCTTGCATGATTTATATCACCAATAATACGAAAAGTCATAGTAACATTAATAAGACATTGCATAACAATTAACTAAATCACAAGAAAAAGTTCTTCGTCTATATGTGATGTATTAGGGCGAACCAATAATATATGTTGTCATGTAACATGAACGATAAAATTTTGGATTTTAATTGTTTAACAAAGTTGATTGGAGCCGTGTTTGACCTTTTGAAGACATATCTAGTGGTACTTTTTCATATTTCGGTTTGTTCACGTAACGCGTCACCTCGCTGACCAAGAATTCGAAGTCATCATTTCATCGATCCGCCATTGCTACTTTATAGAGCACAGTCTATAGTATAGAGAAATATATTTTGTTCTTTTAATAAGTGCTGAAAATCATATTTGATAATTATTAATAAAGGTGTCACTAAATATCTATAGGAGAATAATCATCTGGAATCTATAATTAGTTCAACCCTTCTATCGAACTATTATGATGAATATATGGGCAAAATCAGGCAGAATAGGACATTTTTCGTGTTTTTCGAACCTCATAGCAGACTTGTGAAAGTGCAACAGAGTGTTAGCCTATGGTCTCTAATTTATGAAATCGACGTTCGTTTTTAATTCGCGTCATTTCAGACAGTAGGAAAATCTCATGTTTTAAAAGTCCCCATTGCGTCTTGAAATTCAAGATATTTTTACCGTGAGAAAACATAATCGCTTTTACATGAACTAAGAGCATAGAACAATTTGTTTCCGTATGGGTCGAGAGTTCCTTCAATGTTGTTTCTAACCATCCACAGACAAGAAAAAAAGGTTTGTTTTATTTTGAAGATAATTTAGTGGAAAAATCTTCTATTTTCTCAGTCACGTCGCTAACGAAATTTTACATTAAGTTTTTTTTTCTCCTAAAGTATTAGTCGGTCAAGTTTCAAACTTTCTATGTAAACATAGTTTCATGTACCCAGTAAGTATATTGTATATTTCTTTTTTCTCTATTCTGTCCCTTTAGAGTATGTAGTTAGTCGAAGTGAGTCACGTCGCTAACAATATTCTACGAGAATTACAAATTTACAATCAATCACGTGAAATTTTGCTTTCTAAGCATATCGTAGTCAGTGTTTTTTTCGCACTTGATCGTTATTGTCTGAAAAGTCTTGAAAGTTATCCAGAAATGAATTCGAAAAACAAAAAAAAAAGCACATGTCACTTTATTTCGATGTTACCATGTTCCCCCTCAAGCACACGAGGAAAACTGATTTTCGAATTTCGACTTGAAACTTTGCACATAGATAGGCCTTAACAAGGAGAGTTTATTGCGAAAGTTTCAAATCTTTTCGATGTTCCTATCCTATCATATGCATATGGTAATAGTTAGGGTCTTATATTGATCATATACACAGGCAGATTCGATGTTCATATTTCAGGATAGGAATGATGAAAAGATCTGAAATTTTCACAATAAGTTCTTCTTTTTGAGGCCTATTTATATGCAACGTTTCAATTCGAAATTCGAAAATCAGTTTTCCTCGTATACCTGAGGGGGACCACGGCATTCTAATAAAAATATATCATAAAAATGCAATATTTCGTCAAGGATGGGCTATGGGCCCGAACTATTTTCAGGATATTCATAGCTAACTAAGGGCTACATGATGCATATACTCTCGACTCAAAAGCAATTGGACAGTTGGAAACGTTCCCTCGTAAGTTTTTGCTGAAGTAAATTCCTGCAAAATCTTTGTCTAATACTCAAACTTCCTGGAAATCTGCGTAACAATAATTAAGGTTTTTTTTAAAGAGGTTTCGAAGAAGTATGTGCTAGTTAGAGGAAGTCTTAGATTTTGTGGTAGATTAGCGAAGATTCACGTAAACAATACGTTCTATTCGTACTCTGTCGCGTCGCTAACGCCAAATAAACTCAATTTATTTAAAAATCTAAACGTATTCAGGAAAAACATTGGATAGGTATTATGTAGCTTCAAGAGTCATCTACAATATGTACTATCTAGTTTCCGAAAATAGTGTTTCAATTCACAGGTTTTTCAAACTGAAATGCTTGCAGTGGAAGTTGATGTCCTTTTTTGAGTCACGTCGCTAACGCTGTTTTTTTAATCATAACTCTGACAAACAAGGATCTCTAGGGCTGATTTTTTTCCGGGTGTTTAGAGCAACTTAATAGACGCAGAAAAAATAAAAAACCAGCTCTAGATAAGCTCGTTGTCCAGAGATATATACATTTCAATTTTGCGAAGTCACGTCGCTAACAAATGATTTTGTCCATATGTTATTCAAAGCAGAAGAACGAAAGCAAACAATAATATAGACGTATATATAAAGAGAAAAAAAAGAGAATATTTTGAAAATTTTATGTAAACTTTAATCATTCCTATTTCTGACGAAGGTCACCTTGATGTACCGAAACGTCAAAAATAAATAAATAAAACATCATCATTCAAGGAAGAGAATTACTCTAAACTATGAACAGAATAATCTTTAGTTGTATCAAGATTATAAATCTATACATGAAAAATAAATAAATAAACAAATAAATAAATAAATAAAATCGAAAAAAATTCTGTATACATGTTTGAAGACTAGAATTTTCTTTAAATTTGTTCATACATGCAATATGACCTGTAGTCATATCAACCACATGAATGTAATCTCGTATACCTACATAAAATTTAATCATCGTTCATAGTTAAAAAAAAAACATTGCATTTTACCTGTTCCATCTGGTGTATCATGATCAGTACCCGTAACATTCATATGTAGTAGCCGACCAACAGCTACTTGAGCAACATACGGCATAAGATTATTTGGTCTACCAATAGGACCTTCACCAATTAAATCTTAAATAAAATAATTCAAAGTAAAAAAACATTTCTTCAAATGTATACGAATAAACCTAATTCATGAGCACCAACAGGATTAAAATAACGTAAAATAATTATATTTCAATTCTAAAATATAATAAACTATATGAAAATTGTTCTCAAAAGATTTTAAATACGAACAGGATAAGCAATGGTTGTATCTTTGAGAATATGTTCACAAATATATTTACTTTTCCCATATGGATTTGTAATAGAATCTCCAATATATGGATGTTTTTCATCAAATGATAAATACTTTGGCGAACCATAAACAATAGCTGATGATGAAAAAAAGAAAATTTTTTATATTAAATTCTTCCATACATTACAAAAGAACAAACTAAGAAAATCATGATTAATAGGTTTAAAAAAAAAGACAAATAATACTGTTAGTAAGTTGAGTAAATAACCAACATTATTTTTATAATATAAAACAGGCTTTTCAACAGATTCATCAACAGATTTCCATGCAGCAAAATTCATAATGGCATAAGTCGAATGTTTTTTAAATATATCACGTAAACCTTCAAGATCAAGACAATCAATTTTATAATTTATTATTCTACATCCAACAATTTGTTCAACTCGTTGTAAACACACTACAAAAAAAAATTATATATATATATAATTTTTTCAACTTTTTCAATAAATATATTCTATTGTACCTATTGAAAAATTCGATAGATTATCAACTACAATAGGTTCATATCCAGCATTGATAAGTTCAATAATACAATGACTACCAATAAAACCAATATCACCTGGTACTAACACTTGGAGTTTGTTAGAATCGCCTTAATTATATAAACATTTTATAGGTTAGAAAAGAAAAAAAAAAACTTTTATCTTTAGACTGATTAGTCAATGCATAATACGATTATATATCTTACCTGTTGTAGCTGCCATTATTCTTCCTAGAAATTACCTAAAATATTAATTTCATACATAACCTAAATAGAAGAATTTTTTTTCTTCATGTATTTTTATTTGGTTTAAAGAAACGTAAAGCAGTAAAAATAATAAAAACAAAAAGGAAGGCGGTGAACTGTGTTTAGAAGTAAAAAACAAAAACAAAAAGAACCATTGATTTAGCCTTGAGTATGAACGATTCACAGAAAAATCCATAGACAAACGAAATATTTAAGATAATCAAGTTTACATTGTTATAAATTACAAATTAACCTAAAGAAATACAACAACAAAAAAAAAGAATGAATATTACTAGAGAGCTTGATTTGTTTTTTTTTTCATTCAATAGCAGTACTTTTCAATTCTGGTTTTTCAGTTCTCTCTCTTTTTCTCACAGAGAACAAAAATATTAATATACATATACACAAACAAAAAATTTGGAATATTTATAGAAAGATAAATAAAAAAGCGACAAACGAAAGCGCATAGAATAGCAAACATTGATTCATAAGATTAGTATATTAACAAACCAAAAAAAAACAAATCACTACGACAAAGAAGAAAATGGAAATTGAAGAAAAAATTATTGAATTGGTTTAGTTGAATTTGCAATTGTGATTGTTGGATCACGTCGAGATTGACTAAGAACATTGAAATTAACATTGAAAACAATTAAACAATCTGTCGAAAGAGCAGCTATGATATATCTAAATATAAATCAAAATACAGAGTGTTATAAAATTTCATCTTATCTTAAATAAAATAAAATATTGAAGATATACAAATTCATTTCAATAACCTTTTTTTTCTTTTTCATGATACGAAAGACCTTTTGGCATTCTGCAGCTATTACGAACTAATCTCTTATATAGAAAATTTCATATCGATAAAAACTTCGAATCATCCTTCTCTACAAATCTAAAGATTACGGGTGTGGGTGTCAGTGGCAGTCTTCTATTTAACCGTATCTCACACACACTCACACCTACACCCACCCAAATTAGTTCGCAACAAGAATGATTACTTGAGTCTAATAAAAATACTTCAATACTTTCCATAGAGCTGCATGGTGAAACTAGGGTGTGGGTGTGGGTATGGGTATTCATGCATAGAAGACCCACACCCACACATCCACACTCGCACCCACCCCCCACTCACCCACACCCCACACCCACACCCTGACTTTTGATTCGAATCAACGATTGAACGGATAGAGTTTTATAGCAGTATTCACTTTTATTTATTGTCTATTATTGGTTCGATGCAGGATGATCATGGTAATGGTAAACTCGATTCCAGGATTGTTCCTCACCGTTGAACAAAATACAATAGGCAATACAGCCAAAGGCACCGATGCCTGCCGATATATTGAATATGATACGCCAAGCTTCAAGTGTTTGCTATGTTTATGGGCATCAAGAACAAAATGGTAATCAGAGAGAGAGAGAGGAAGAGACAGCGAGAACTTACATTATTATTTGTGATGACTCCGACTACATAAGGTCCAACGAAACCGGGTATTGTTCCCAAAGAATTTGTGATACCAACAAGAGTTCCTACACATACAGTTTCACTAAATACTTTTCAGCTTTAACGTTTCTTACCAGCATAATTCGATGCAACATCGAGATGTGAAATGAGCGCACCACACGCGTGTAAACCAATAAACGACACAGACAAAGTACAGCACAGAACACCAAGCACATGATTACAACCAACATAGCCGGCGGCAACCAAAAATGAGCAAGAACCCAAACCACCTAAGTTTGATAATGAACAATGATGAAAATGCTATAGCTAAACTATTTAGTATCTAACTCTTACCAATTATAGTCTGGACTTTTCGTAGTGTTGTAATTGTGACAATATTACGAGCTCGAATACGATCAATGATTTGACCCGTTATGATGGTAAACAAAAATTGTCCCAGATGTGGCAAAGTAACAAGAAAACCATTCTATATTGATGATAATGTTTTATTAATTTTTTTCAATAAGGAAAGTATTATATTTATTTCAAATCACAATTAACAGAATCTTTTCCTCAATCTTGAACATCTAATCTTTGACTTATAGATCATGCTTTTTATTCCAATATCTGTAATATTGATCTAAATTTTATCAATTAATTTTCATGAATAAATTCAGAAACTTTCAAATCTCAGCTGTCCCATAATTATAGGATAACTGTATCCTAAATATAAGAATTTTGGATTAATATTAGTTTTACCAACTCAAATGATTCTTTTTTAGCATTCATTTGAAAGAGAACATTCTCACATCAGCTATATGAGAAAAAACGTTTGCAAAAACTAATTTAGCTTTCCTCTTACCTAAGAAACTAAATGGTAGAATAGGTAAGTATTTACATCATGACTATACACTTCCATAGAAATAAGTTTTGACCTCTTTAATATAATGAAAATGGATTTAAACGATCTTTAAATTGTACAATTAGATAGAGCATTTGAAGCTACATAGATTACATAGACTTTAATAAATGATTTTAAGACTCTTACTAATCATATGCTAATTCAAACATATCCTCTGACAAAGTGGACAAAAAGATGGCTCATTCTGCTGAAAAAATGAGAAAAATTGAGAGGCCAGACAAGAGTTGTTCTGAAAATTTTTTCATTAACTTATGACGAAGGAAGAATAGCCTATCTTGTGCAGAATTTGACGGCCTTTCTTTTGATACACTTATCAAGAAATTTAGAAGCATTTTTGTTATGGAATCACAGGTTTCATTCATAAAAACAGAGGTTTTTGTGATGGTCTCCATACAAAAGGATGTTTCAAATATCTTCAGTGCACCTTTTCAAAATTACGAAGAGTCTTAAAGTCATTTCCCAAAGTCTATGCCATCTATGTGGCTTCAGATGCTCTATCTAATGGTACAATCTAAAGATCGTTTAAATCCATTTTTATTATATTAAAGAGATCAATGCTTATTTCTTTTTCTTGTCTTCATATAGTTGAGAGTATTCTCTTTCAAATGAATGCTAAAAAAGAATCATTTGAGTTGGTAAAACTAATATTAATCCAAAATTCTTATAGTTAGGATGCAGATGTCCTATAATTAAGGGACAGCTGAGATTTGAAAGTTTCTGGATTTATTCATGAATATTAATTGATCAAATTCCAATCAATATTACAGATACTATACTGCTACTAGGTGTCCATAGATATGACTTCAGATTAGAAATGAACCCTTCTTTCATTAACGAAATCTTTTGTTATATTCAAAATCTGACAGGGTATCCGAGAATGATAGGACACTCTGTATATAATCGAATGATAGATGTCGAAAAGATTTTCGACTCCAAAAAGCTGGATATCGAATGGATGAAAATAGTTTCCTAAATAACTATTTCCATTCAAGAAAAGGCTCCATCTATTATATGTTGAAATATACAGGACCTCGAAGATCTGTTTACCTCTTGAAGTTCAAAATTGAGTACAGTCGCAAAATAAGTAGATAACGAAGTGAACAATGTATAGTAGACATAATTAGTACAAATTTGCATTATAGCGATGGCATAGACAGGTGGACAGCGAACAATACTTTTCCATGGTGTCTTTAAATGCTATGCAAACAGGTACACGAAAACAAACATTGAACATACAACTAAAATTACGTCTTCAATACCTTACGAGAGATGTTTATTGTATGTGTGGCTAAATACAAACGTTCTTCATTTGTGATTCGTGGATGATCATTGGGCGAATTGAAACCAAAATAACACCATCCGACAAACCACAAACACCCGATTGCTCCTAGATATAAGTAGATATGAACCATATGTTGTTAGCTTTTAAACTTTCTTATTACCAAACACATAAAAAGCCGATGGCCATCCGCCAAGAAACGATGAATCATTCATAAGACTAATAAGTGGTGTGGTAAATATGATCCCAAAATTACTTCCGGATTGAGAGATTGGTGGAATAGTACTTCGCTCCGAAGATGGAATCTGTTTAAAGCATTAAAGCGAAGAGATATTTAGAATTCAGATGTAGTAATATGAATAATCACCCATTTTCCCCAAAGAGCTGCTGCGGACGGAAATACAGGACCCGAGAATAAGCCAATTAAGATCCGAATTGCAATGAGTAATCTAACGTGAGCTCTAGCTGCCAGTGGCGTTAATAATGTCAAAATGCTAGCTATCAATATGCTTCCACTAAAGATCCATTTGGCACCAAATTTTTCGGCTAAATTGCCTGACAATAAAAATAAGAAAACAATTAGGAATACGATAACTAGATGATTTATGTTTTATTGTATCACCTCCAATTCTACAGAACAAAAATCATAGAAAACAAGATATCAATAAATGTACGCTTACACTTGAGCGAGAATATAGCCGTAGAAGAAAGCTCCAAGAATAAATTCTTGAGTAGATGGTTTCCAATCAAATTCGTAGTTCTATAAAACAAGAACAAAGATGTATTTTCGATTTAAATCAACAATAGAAAAGACAAACTGAAGATGGTTTTGGGGAACTTGTGTTCGATATTGGACATGATCGAACTGATTGATTGAGTGCGCTTTGTGGAGGTACCTAATTTATATATGAGGAAGAAAACTATCTTTGATGAGTGCCCTATAGTATGCAGATCGGCTAGATGACTAACCATAGCAACAATCGCCAACGAAATATTTACACGTAGTGCATATAAACAAAGAAAACCAAAGAAAGCCCAGATAGCGACAACATAACGGGCAGGCATAGCTGCACATCGGTGGGAGCCTATCAAAGATGGTTCCGCTACATATTCACTCAGAGCAGACTTGGTTGTCGTCTCATTCTCATTCGCTGACGTGATTGCACCTTGTTCTACTTCCTCTTCTGGACTCGGTATATGGCGCTCATTTTGCTGCTGTTGTTGCTGACCAGAATCACATGATAATAGTGGTAGTCGTTCGTCTTCATCCGAGTCATTTACTATCATTAAACTAGTGCCTTCACGTCTTTTTATCATGCTAGTGGT